GATTTTTTCCCCACAAAGCGATTTGCAAACATTACGAGGGTTTCTTTATAAAAGGTTATAGGGGAAAAATAAAGGAAAAAAGAGGGAGGAAAGAGAGACTGATTTGGGGGGAAAAAAGTGAGAACTGGTTTTGTCTACGTTTGGTAGAAATTTCGAGAAAGCCAGTGAGTTACTGTAATACAATGCTGCCTCAGCATGAGATTGAGTATCATTCCAATCTGCCCCATTTACAAGTAGAACAGTGTCGTTCAGCGTACGTTATTATTTTGCAATTTCTTATAGCCAATTTGCAAAGGTCGTTTATGTATATTAAAAACAGGGTAGGTCCAAGGACACTACCCTGGGGCACCCCAAAGAGCAAGGGGTTCACGTTCGCTTATGACACTACCCATCCTAACATACTGAAAGCGATCCTCAAAATAGCTTTTGAAGAGATTGTGGACAACGCCTCTAACGCCAATACACTCCAGCTTCCCGAGTAGGGGTGGAAATAGGAAATAACCTACTCTACTCTACTCACTTGGTCTTAGAGGGGCCTAGTGAAAGTTTATGTCATTTCTACTCGATCGTCAAGGTGACCGCGTTCGGCGCTGTGATGGTTTAGAGTTCAGCGTGGTCAATCGCAACGGTGAACTGGTAAGCCGCTCTGATCTATCCAACTATAGGCCTATAAGCCATGACTCCCTGTTCTCTAATATTCTGGAATTCATAATCAACTGACAGCTCCTCTGGTACTTAGAAAACTTACTTAGAAATTCACCAGCTATTCAATGACTGACAATATGGTTTTCGCCGGGGTCGCTCAGTTGGTGATCTTCTCGGTTATCTATACACACCGGTGGGCACAGGACGATCGAGACCAAGGGAGAGGCTTTGTGCGGTAAGCTTGGACATAGCGAAGGCCTTCGGTAGGGTATCTCATAGGGCGCTTCTCTCGAAGCTCCCTTCCAATAGGCCTTCCCGAGAAGTTATGTAACGGGGTCACCAGTATCCTTACAGGTAGCAGCATTAAGGTCGTCATCGACGGTGCATGCTCCGATTTGAAGTCAGTAAATGCGGGTGTTCCCGCAAGCTGTGTACTACCCACCCACACTGTGTTCTTCTGCATATCAATGGTATGTTACGAACTAGTGGCATCCATTGCTATGCAGATGATAGCACGGGAGATGCCTTTTATACCAGCCGTCCTAATATTTCACGTGAAAACGTCATCGAGAAGTGGAAACGAACTTGTGTCTGAAGTTGAAAATTCCTTAGAGAGGGGGTCGAAAATTTAAACTAAAAAAGGACACAGTTTTGCGCGTTCATCGCAAAAAAGATATAGTTTGTCGTATCGCCTCGGTTCGAGAGCACCTTCCTAACTGCTATCAGCCAGTATGCAATCCTAGGCATCGAGATATCGAGCGAAGTCCAGTTTCGTCCATCTAGAGGTAAGGTCAAATTAGCCTCGAAGAAACTCGCTGTGCTGAACAGATTGCACAAGATTGGCAGTATTACACTCCAGCTCATCGCCTTTCAAATTCTATAAAGGCGCAAGTCTGACCGCATATGGAATACTGTTCTCAATCTCTATGCAGGGGCATCACAGTACCAGCTTCTCCCTCTGGACCCATCCGGTCCAAAGAAAAGTACAGTACCAGAATCCGGGGCTTTGAACATGTGATCCTTTTAAGTGATGATTAATTTGATAGTCAACCGAGCTGGTACTGTATCTGTATTTTGGTACTGTATTCTTAAGTATTCTTAGCTGTTAGTCGCACTAATATAAAAACAAAAGCGAGTGTTCCCTCACGTGAAAGACATTTACACATATATGTATGTTGTTACAGGATGTATATATGTGTAGCCCTCGTGTTCTAGTAGAACACATGGGTGCTTTGATACAAGCTGGGAAAAGTCTCGCTGGAATTACTGCTGGAAGCCTGCTGGGCCTATTCTCTATGGGCCTGTTTCTGCCCTGGACCAACGCAACGGTAAATATGTCATTATTTTCTTTATAATACTAACCTACAATTTTTGAGTCCATTAAAAGTGCAAATGTTAATATAGAGGGTCTTTTGGGGACTCATGCATGGCCAACAAGAGCCTTTTACGCTCCACTCTGGCAAAAAAGGTGATTGCATGAAATGATGGCATATTTTGTTGTACTTTATTACACTTATTTTTTGGTATCAACTTTGCTACGATTATGCGCAATAGATACGCTTCTCTTTTACGCCAGTTACTAATTCAGAAGGCCAATTCTCGGAATAAAAGTTTGGTCTCAATTCAGTTCCGGTTAACTTTTATTTCGGTCATTTTACATGAAAATGTGTGATATTAAAGTGAAAATAATCGGTGGGGACGTAGCTTCCTCAGTATGAAAAAAAAAGTTCAAAACCTTTTTAAGTCTTACACGCTATGTCATATCTTTTTTACCTTTTTTACTAAATGTGATAACGCATATTTAGTATAGATCCATATATCAGTAAAATTAGCTAGGCACATCTATAGAAATAAATAAAATTGGAGTGTCTGTTTGTAATATTAAAATAACAGCTTTTTACTAAATGCATATGTATGTTTACACGGTACATATGCCAAAATAACATGTTTTACAATTTTTGTCTGCCTGTCTGTCGACGGCTTAACCGATTTCGACGGGACTTTCACTGGCCGATAGCTGATGACATAAGGAGTAACTTAGGCTACTTTTTTTAGACTAGCTTCGCCCCGCGGCGTTGCCCGCGGTTATAACAAAAAAACGCGGGTAACACCGCTGGTCTCAGCTAGTGCTGTATATAATATAAAAGGGTCACCATAGTGCCCAGCAATAAGGCATTTTCAGTCATTTTAATATTAAATCACTATTTAGTTTATTAAATACAGGGCGCTCTAACAGGCGGGATAGCGTCAACTCTACTCGTCGGCTGGATATCCCTCGGCACCCAGGCAGCTATGATCCGCGGTGAGATAGTCCGTACCTCCTAAGCCCGTATCTGTTGCTGGTTGTACGGAAGAACACGACGCTACCAGAATTCACACCACTATCTTTCAATAATGTGGAGTTTGACAGGTGGTATACTTAAAAACAGTTGTGGGCACCAATCTAATTGCATGTTAAAAAATGAATTGGTATTCTTATAGGCTGAAAAATACTTAGGTATAACGCAAAATACGTAAATTTATAATTCTCCCGTTAATCATTTCATGATCTTTCCCCAAATTACCTAGACAATATTCAGTCCTTTTAATAGTATTTAAAGTATTTAAATATTACTACGAGTATAATAGTGGTACAGTTTTTAACTAATGACATGGGAATAGCTATATCGGTGAGAAAATAATTTTAGAATAATTAATTTTAATTTTTTAGAAAATAATTTAATTTGCTAAATATATAGAAGGAAGAAACAAAACTTTATTTTATCATGAGTTTAATACCAAAACTATGAATCTTGCGCCTTTATAACAGCATTGCACATATAACAATGCTGGCGTTAAGCAGAAAGTTACATAGTTAAATTCGAACTGAGTGTCGCTCAAGAAGTTTTAAAAATGTTATTTTATAATTAATTATTTAGCCTTCGTTTAATTGACCCTCCTCTTTTTTTGAAGTTGCTTGATTCTTTATGCTTTTTATTATATCCATATATGTAAGTCTACTTGAGACTTATATATACTTATATATATTATATTTATTTATAAGTAAATTCGATTCCTTATAAATTTTTCTATCCCTGTTTCTCATCCCTGAGGTGAAGTTTTCTTCTAATTTGAATAGAAATAACGTAAAGTATACCCTAACTGACTTGAAAAATAATTTGCCAAATCGATAGATAAATTACGGAGTTTTGAGCTAACAAACATAAAAAATAAAATTATCCTTTTTAAAGTTACTTTAAATGTAATAACCACTGTAGTTTAGTTTAGTAAAGGTTATCTACTGGATAATATTTACCACAATATTTAATTCCAGTTTTACTTTTTCTACACTAATCCTTCTAGTGTAGTATTCATGATACAGTATTTCTAGTTCCACACTACTATTTATGTAATAAGAGGCTGCTATGATTATTTACATCACTGGTTTATTTATAGAAGCGAGACATTAACTAGTGATCGTATTAACAGGTCAGGAACGTTCTTCCTGTATAGACTGAGCTACTTGTATTATACGCTCGTCGGGATGATTGTGTGCATCGTGGTCGGCTCCATCGTCTCGTATTTCACCGGACCCAATGATCCAACTATGGTAAGATTTTAATGTGATATTTCAGTACATACTAAATGTATTTAAATTCGTGTATATTTTAAGAACTTAATGATTGTTTAGTTTTTAGAAAGTCGTGTATTACAAAAACTGACCAGTATGAAAATAAAACGGGCATTTGACTGCTTCGGCGGGTTCGATTCCCGGGTCGGAACAAATGTTTATACCTATGATTTAGAAATGTTTGTTTAGGAGTTTGGGTGTTCTCTATGTATAATATGTATTACAAAAAAAGATTATAAGTATTCTATCAGTCAATCTAACTTTCATAGTACAAGCTCGGCTCGGGAACTAGGCTGGGTTGTGTGTCAGATGTCCGAAAATATTATTATTATTATTTATTTATAAAGACATTTAAAATTGAAAAAGTTCTATCTTAGTATATCACTATGTCTAAAATGTGTGTTGATCTATGATTTTCGACTCTACATAAGACGAGTAGTTTTTTTTTATAAAATAAACAAAACAACTTCGCTGGCAAATGAACTAGAGATTGCCTTTTTTTTTTTTTTTTTTTTTTCCGTGCGGAAATCCCCTCGGATACCACCTGTCGGTGGCATGTCGGACTCGAACCGACTAAAACCGCACGCCTTCGCCGGGTACTAATAGCCGGGGAACCAGGTATACCCTAGAAAGGAAGGCCCTGGTGCCCCGACATACCTCGGGTCATCTACAGACGAGTAGACGACCCCCGCCCCGTGTGGGAACCCCATGTTCCCTGTGCTCCCTGGAAGCGAGCGCGCTTCGCAACGCGCTCGCCGCCACCCCGGCCTGCTTCTGCTAGGGTGACAGATGGCCTCACCTGTCACCCCCAGGCCTGCGCTTATGGAGGACGGAGGTCGTTCTGCGACCTCCGGCGCCTGAGTCGCCTGCGCTGCCTGGCCCGTGCCCGGGCCTGGCGGGCCGGGAGAGTTCTAAACCTCTCCCGGTCCCGCTCCGCCGTCTCCTTCGCGAGCATAACTTGCTCGCAGAAGGAGACGGCAGAGTTCCACGCACTCTCGCTCCGCACGATAGCCGCGATCAGGCTATCGAGCGAGAGAACTCCCACTCCGATGGCCGCCACGAGGTCTCGCCTCTGCTCAACCCACGCCGGGCACTCTGCCAGCGTGTGGAGAGCCGTGTCCACGGTCCTGGCCATCGCAGTGGTGGCACTCAGGCGTTGGCTCCTTGCGGATCAGACACAGGTGATCTCCGAAACATCCCTTCCCAGTGATCACCTGCGTCAATCGGTATGAGAGGGTCCCGTGACGCCTCTCGAGCCAATCCTCCATAACGGGTCTTACCGCCGCAATGACGGCGTGCCCGGCGCTCGGTTGCCCGAGTCGTTCCCTCCACTCCCCTATGATGACCTGGCGGAGTTGGATTTCCGGTCCTCGCTTTCTCGAGTCTCGGGGCATCGCCCCAACTCCTGCGCCTCCTTGCGCCACTGATACAGTGCCGCAAGGGCTCTCGCCTCCAGGTCCCACGGTGGATCCAGACGCCTCGCGGAGCAGTCGGTTGCCCTGGCAGTCATTGCCAGAGCCCTATACCAGTCCCGTACCATCCGCGTTGGTTCGGGGCGGTCGATGGCTCAGCGGCCATTTATTGCCGGGTGGGGAAGGCTTCCATTGCTCTCATCCTAAGAAAGGGTGCTGGCTTCGTGGCAGTGGAGTGGGGGGTAACAGTGGTTTTTGGGGTTTTACTTTCTCCCAAACGTGGCCCGCCGATATGAGGGATACCTGCCGGGTTTTCAAACTGCATTCGACTCGCCCCCGTCCGGTATTCGTCCCGGGTTTACTTCAAAGCCCCCTCCCAAAGGGAAGGGGGGGACACTCGGACAATGCGAGGGGAAGGGCTATCCTGGAAAGGGGCGGCTGGACTGGAAACCCCCGACTTCAAATCGGGGCTCTTTTGCACCTGTGTCGATGGCAGGGGGATCGATTGTTTAAACCCGTCATTGGGGGGACTCCCTCTTTCGTGGACATGGTGTCGGGATGGCGGGGGGGGCGGAGGGAATTTGGGCATTCCCTTTCCCGACCACCGGGAAATCGAATTTGATGTGTCTCTCCGCCCCGTGACCGCCCGCGTCAGGGTAGAGAACCTCCGCGACGAGGGGCCCTCAAGCGCTTGACCGAAGATGGGGCGTTTCCCCCCATCCCAGGGGGCGGATTTGGGTTTGGGGGAAAAATTTTTTCGTTTCCCATCCAGAAGAACAGGCGGCCCGTTTTTTGGGGAAAATTATGGCGTCCCTATGTGTTTCCTCAAAGCCCCGATCAAAGGCCCCGCCAGGAAGGGGCCCCTTTCTTTGGGGGAGCGTGGGGGATCTCGCAGCTGAAACACGGTCGCGAGTTCGCCCCCCCGTTCTTCCCAGCCCCCCGAAACGCAGCTACAACAGGGGAAACAAGTACACGGCGGGAATACGCTTGCTTTTAAAAACTCTCACGATGCAAACGCTGAGGCCAGGGTCTTTTCCCAAAGAACCATCCCGGGGGAAATGGATAGAGACCCCCTTGGGGGGGGCCCCTCCAAAAATTTTACTGGGCCAAACTAAAAAAAGGGGGCCCCCCATTTACTGAAACCCTTTGGGCCCGGGTTCCTGGGGAAAAAGTGGGAGACACCTCTTCCCAAGGGTCCGGCCAAATCCCCCTTTATCTCTCCTTTTCAAAAGGACCGGCAAATCTGGTCCCCCCGAGTGTTAGGTGACGGAGGAGAGCTGGACCGAGTCCCTGCGGCACGGCCCTTTCCCCCACCCTGCGCCCCCGGGCCTATGGTATTCCAGGGCGGGGGCTGGTGTAGCTCTGTTCCCCCCCGGGATTGGGGGGCCCAAAATGGGCGGGGGGTTTACAGATTGTTTTTAGCCTCGGTTTTTTCCCCCCCATGGGTGGAAAAAGCCAGACTTGGGTTTCTCTTTTAAAAAAGGAAAAGGGAGAAATGCGATTTTCTCCCTTGCGTTTCCCCCAAACCCATTTGGGCCCGCTAACGATTCCGGGGGAAAATCTTTGAGAGGGTTATCTCCGATTTTGTATCAGCGGGCAAATGTCGCGAGTAGGCCCTGATCTTCGGACTGCCATTTTTGGGTTCCGACCCGGGGGGGTTTTCGACATTTGGGCGCATCAGGTGCGTTCGCTCCATGTCCGGGGGTCGCAGTCCTCAAGGGGGGTTTGGGGGTTTGGGGGTTAGCCTTGGGGTTTGTCAACGCGTTCGGGCCCCTCCCCTTGGGGAGGCCGGGTAAGGCGGCCCTTGAATTTTTATGATGGGGCCCCTCTATCTGCGGGGCCCTCATTTGGGGCCTACTGCGCGATAGGGCAGTAAATTTTTTCGTCGGGGGGGGGTGGAAAATTTGAGCAGGGGTGTTGGTGGGTTCCCCCAAAGGCCCCTGTTTTTTTGGCCCTTTGGTTTTGTCCTTTTGCTTTCGATGTGGTCCTTCGCACCCCGTCGGCCCCCCTGCCTTAGTGTTTTTCTGCTATCAATGACACTTTCATCCCGGCTAGAGGGTTTACACTTGACGGTGCTTCGGCTCGCCGAAACATTGGGGGGGCTTGTGTCGTTTGGGAAAATTTTATGAGCTGGGTTTTGAGGGTGGCGCCTCAGAAAACTGAGGCGATATGGGTTTTTATGGGCCTTTCGTAAGCGCCAGGGAAACCCCCCAGCTCATGCCCCCCGGGGGGTTTACGCCCGAAGTCCCGGGGGGCCCTACTGAAGTACTTAAAGGGCCCCATCCGGACGGTTTGGGGGGCTTCGAAGAGCATTTCGTTTCGATTAAGGGCCCCCGAATTTCGCGGGTACCGGGGGCACTTTCATCGTCTGCTGCCCAATCCCCGGGGGCCACCTTTTTAAAATTCCCCGGGCCTATATGGGGGGGCGTGGCATTTCCCTGGTTTCCCTATGGGCGCCCGTCGGGGCTAAAACTTGGCGGGTTTCCTCCCGCTGCAAGGCTCTACTCAAAACCTACAGCGGTTTATGGCCCTACGGGGCCGTAAAAAAAAAAAAGGGGTTTTCGTACCTCTCGTTTGAGGCGGCGAAAGGGGGGGTTGGCTTTGTATCCAACCCCTTTGATTCTGGCCGACATGGGCGCGATGGTCCCATGACCAAAGTCCCCTTTCTTTCCCTTTTTAATGGTGGGGGGAGGCCGCGCCCGGAAACCCTGAGCCCGGAATGCTACGGGGACGCGCATACCAGCTTTGGGGAGCGTGGCAGGCACGGCTTGTAATCCGGGCTGTGCTAGCCAACCCCGCCGTCGGAGCCGTTTTTGCCAAGCTTCGAAGCGTGGTAGGGGGGAACGACTGTGGTCCCTACCGGGTTGCTCAAAGCTTACCGGGCCGGTTTTTCTTCGGGGGAGTATCTGAATCGAATTGGACGGGAGGCTACGGCACGATGCCACCATTGCGGGTCCGACCGGGACTCCGCCCAGCACACGCTGGGAAACTGCCCTGCATGGGAGTCCGAACGTCGAGTCTTGGTCGGACAGATCGGACGAAACCTGTCACCGCCAGCATTAATCGCGGCAATGCTGGCGAGTGGCGAGGGATGGGCAGCCGCGGTCTCCTTCTGCGAGGACGTTATGCTCCAAAATGAGGCCGCAGAGCGGGATCGGGAGAGGGCCGATCCCGCTCGAAGGAGGCGGCGAAGGGGAACGCGGCAGAGGTCGCTAACTCCCCAATCGCCGCCTAAGGGTCACTGCGGCCACATCTTGGGGCGATGTGACCGCTGTAAAACGACCCGAGGACGGATGACACTCCGGTGCGGCCGGGGGTGTGTCGTCTAAGTCGGGACGCCGTTGCGCCTTTTACTCTGTAGAGCAGTGAGAGGCGCGATAGCGTCCTGCCCCAGGTGACTACGGTCACTCCGGGATGTGCCTCAGACCATGAGGTACGGCAGGGAGGGACTCCAGAAGTCGCCGATGCGTTTCCTGGAGCTCCTCCCGACTGCCGAGGTAGGCCGCCGCGGGGTTAGTGGGTAGACCGGTTCTCCGGGAGCCCCACACGCGCCCTGCGTTTCCCCAACGGAGGGTATGGTGGCGAAAAGCATTCCCCGCGTGAAAAAAAAAAAAAAAAAAAAAAAAAAGGTCCCACGGTGGAGTTCCGGCCAGGAGACTCGCTGCCTCAAAGGAGATCGTGCGGTACCCCCTTATGATCCTGATGGCCAGCATTCGCTGCGGTCGTCGCAGTATCGCGACGTTGCTGGCCCTCAGGGCCCCCGCCCATTACCGGGGCACCCGTAAAGGGCCATGGACCGCACAACCCCCGAGTAGAGTCTCCTGCAGGAGTCCATCGGGGTCCCTTCATGTTGGGCAGCAGGCCGCGCCAACGCACGCGCTGCCCCAAGACTATAGATGTAAAACAACATTTTTGAAAAGTCGCCTACAAAAAATAACAGTTTTTTTTTTTTGTGGGAAATTTTTGGTCACCTGAAATTATGGTTTCGTTTAATTAGTTTATAGAAATCAATAGAAAGTACCCACCTACATTACCTACTACATTAAAAGTAAAACTAAAGTATGTAGGTATCATATACTTATTTATTATATTCTTTATTTTCTTTTTTATTTTTTAAAGACAAGTCTCCCATTAGGAATATATACATATATCCTGTGTCGCGGGGGACTTTACAAACATACTTGAAACGGACACAAAGAACACCCAGACTCAGAACAACAATTTGTGGATCACACAAAGTTTTGTCCCATGTTGGGATCGGACCCACAACACTCGGCGTAGTAGGAAGCGGCGTGGTGACCGCTTAACTACTACGCCATCCGTGCAGTCAAATATTTATATTACACACACTAGATTAAAAGACGTCATTAACACAATGCCGTCCATTTTACTTGCACATAAAAGAGACAAACGTTATGTCTTCAAAGCCGTCGCGATTAACGACGTCAACGAGAGTGCGAGAGTGTGAGTTTAGTTTTAAACTGAATCAAATTGATTAAATATTTACATCGTTGAAAACAATGAAAAAAATGTTTATTTACCAACACAGAGTTTTAGCTTATCAATAAAGCTTTTCAAAACCTAAGTAGGTAATACCTACGCTCGGTCGGACGGACCAACTAGAACTAAACCCGCTAAGCATATTAATATCAGTATATCACACAAATATTTTTTTTTACACAGTTTATAGGTACTCCGTCATATCCCTACTTCGATAAAATCAAGAAAATGTAGTTATATTTAAAAAAAACATAGTCATCAACACCAACCGTTAGAAATTAAAAAAAAATGGTTTATTTCTTTTTTGAAAGTTTTTTTTTCGTTTAAAACGGATTGGTTTAATGGGTTTTAAACCGGCCTTACATCTACATATTTGCCTGAAACCCAAACTTAGACCTTTTTCAATGCCTTATTTTATTTCGTTGATCACTATAACTTTAAAACATTTGTACTATTACAGGCATAAATATATATTGGACTTTAATAACTTTACCTAGCCGTTTTATATAATGTTAAACTTAATACTTAAATTTTTGAAACATTTTATATTTCTGCAGTTAATATTTTTTTTTTACTTAATAATTTAAGTGATAGTGATAAACAAGGTTAAACAAACTGAATTTCCTCAGAAATCTTGTATAAAACGTAAAAAAGGACTAGATTCTCAGTTCATCACGATAATTTATATTTCTTTACATGTTGCCAGATTACTCTAAAACGGTAAGATTATCATCAGTGCAGATTACGATCCTGGGGAAATACGATAGATTTTTTAAAATTCTACGGCTATTTTTTGTAAGTACATAAAAAGCACTACTTGATATAGTTGAACTGACGATGAAAACGACAGATTTACAGCAAGCTTGCATAGTATAAATCCTTTTTTTTTAAGTTGAACCAACTTCAAACAATACTAAGAAAGAGCACTAAAAATAAAAAATAAAAATACAAATCACAATTGCAAAAACTAAATTAATTATAGTACCTTTCTTAACATGTATTGCTCTTCCTTAGTATTCTTTGAAGTCAGTCAACTTTTTTTTAAAAGGATTTTATTTTACCATTTTTTGTTGTAAGATACGTTTGTAATGAGTAGATATGATATTTAGAATAATAAGTACTGTACTGTAATGTTAGGTACATTACAGTACTTTTTGTTCTAAATATCATATTACCAAACTGTAGTATGTTAGGGAAGCCAAATTTTTTTTTTTTCATATTACTTAATTTTCCACCACTAAGAGTGGTATTTTTTCTTTACATATGAATGCAACCAAAAGGGAACTATACTCTACCAAAAAATAAAGAATTTTCCAAATCGGTATAAAAATAAAAGTTCAAATTAATTGCGTAACAAACTTTTGTGGCTAAATGTTTTTTGAATCTCATTTATTACTTTCTCTGTAAACCAACACAAACACATAACAAATATCTTGAAAGAATAAAACAAGGTCAATACATGAATATATTCATGAAAGAGTAATATTTTAACTCCTAAAGGTCAAGGACTCTTCTTCCATCATCAGCTCGACAACATGAGATAACGACTATACGCAAGAACCTAAAACACTTCGTCGGGGCTGTAAAATTTGAGGTTTTGCCTAGATTTCTCTGATCCCAGAGAAATCTAGGCCAACCGTCAAATTTTCAGATCCAGACCCAATCATCAGATCCTGATTTGGTGGTTATGGGACCACCGCGGGAGTCATTTTGATTACAAAAATAATTTTGAATCGGCCTATAAATGACGAAAAACATACAAAAAGTATACACTTGAATTGAGAAACTCCTCTTTTGTGTTTTTGAAGTCGGGTAAAAATAAGTACATGATACATGATAGAGGTATTGCAAGTCAGTAATTTATTAATGTTACTAAGCAAATTATTCTCCTCGCGAAGTAAAAGGAACGTTTCTCAAAATTATGAGGTGATTGCGTCGTGAAAATACTTTTTTGTAGACAGTTATAAGCCTTAGACAGGACTCACCCATAGGGGTGAATGATAATATGCTGAAGATATTCATCTAATTATAATTTAGGCTGATTTATATTTTTTTTGATCATCTTGAAGTCAGTGACCCTTATACAAATAGATATTTGCCGTTATATAAATCTGTACACCTACATAATTTCTTTTACACAAAATTGGATTAAATCACAGGCCGCTTATTTAAGCTTCAAACTAACTGATTATTTTCTTCCCTTGCTTGCTTATTATATCAATCTTAATTTATCGTTTCACGTGGGACGGGCCAATAGCGTATAGTGATTTAAAGAAAAGTACAGTCCATTTTTAAATAAAGAGATATAACAAAAAACAAAGCGTGTATCATAATTATCTCATTTAAAAATCAGAGGAACAAACCAATTAAGTCACAACATGATGTCACATAATGTTGATGCCAAATTGACAAGTTGTAAGGAAGTCAGTGGATTATCCATACTAATAATATAAACGCGAAAGTGTGTTCGTCTGTGAAAAAGGGGTGGAAATTTGTGTGGGGAATCAATAACTATTTAGATGAAATTTGGTATGGAGTTGCTATGATTCTTGGGGAATTTTTTTTTACCACGATAACCGACATTCCTATCTTTGTTCCTGAACGAATAATTTATTGTTACTTATTGTTTGAAGTATACCTATACATACACATTTCTGTAGGTGTACAAAATGTGAGACGAGGGCAAGTGACTAAGCTTCTGTTAATAAAAGTAGATACAAAATAAATAAATAACACTCAGTGGAGTTTAGTTAAGCTCTCAATACGGTTTGAAACTAGATATACAATAGATGCATACATGAATGACATAGGTATATATCCAATTGACTACGATATTAAGTAATAGAAGTGTGGTACAGAGGAGTGTCATTATGTAATCTATGATAGGTACACAATATTGATATCAACGACCTCTCAAGAATATTATCTCTATTGCATGACCCATTCCACACATCAATTGTTGTAGCTATAAAGTTCGCTCATGCAGGATTGCTGAGGTCTGTTAATAGTCGATTAGCCAAATTGGTGGTCAAGGCGTCCAAAGTAGTCTTCAAATTGGCATTCGTGTTGAAGTGGGTCAATGTTTAGGTGCATCGCGATCTCTTGACGCCAATGATCCACCGGTGGCTGCCTGAGCAGCACCCGCACTGTCGACGCCCTCGGCTCACTCAGCACGACATCGAACTGCACGCGAGAGAACTCGAAGAATTGCGGGCCAACTCTGCTTACAATGTATGTATTTTAATCCCCTCAACTTAGTAAATATGTATCTGCCTACGTATTGAATAAATGCTTTGATTATAAATTCGTTTCTTCTTAGAAATTAGGTTAAGACTTATTATGTTCAATATCCTTACATAACATAAACATTTGTTTTTTTTTTTGCTAGTTCAAATTCTGTTTTGTTTCAGGACTTTATAAGGCTTCAAACGTTTTATCCCACTTTTTGTAATAAAAAATTACCAAATAAGTTTACGAAACGATAACTTATAAAAAGAGCTTTTTTAAAAAGAATTTTGAAAAACAAACATTCTTTGTGGATTCAAAGTTGTTTCAAAACAAGAGTCAAATTGTTGATTTGAAATTACTAACTCTGAAGAAATTCGGTAGCAGAAATGCTTTGAGTTTTTAATTACGAAAGTCTTGAAATCTTTTCATTTTCAGTTCTACCATCTACTAGTTTTATTTTAATAAAACGGAATCCATGCGAATTATTCCAGTAGGGCTGCTAGTGACTATGTTTCCTCGTTTGACACGAAACTGATACATGAAACCAGTTACTTGATGATGTTTATTATATTATAGACAAGAAATAGTTTTACCCCTATATGTGTAAGAAAGAAGGGCCTCTTAAATCTAAGACATACCCATGAATTGCGCTTTTTTGAAGACGATGTACGGAAGAGGTTATATATTTTATTTTTTATTTCAGAAAATAATTGGCAGCCAAGAAGGGGGTCGGCAAATCAATAACAATATAAACATTAGCTAGTCATTGAATGACAATATTTTAATTATGTATATATATATATATATATAGTATAATTATAAATGTAGTGTTAATAATTTATTATTGAACAGTAATAAATATTTTATGTTGAATATTTATTTTATTTCATTGTACCCTAGGTGGATGTTTATTTTCTTAATAAGTTTAGCTATATGTTCACGATCATGAGACGTAGTTGAGTTGCGAATGCCTGTTGTAGACGTGTATTTGATACTACACATCAGCAGATAATCCGATAAAGTGGTCAAACACACGTAATAGTAAATGCAGGTACTGCATTCGGTACTTGGAATGACAGATCTAATGTCTGTCAGAGCTATGATCTACTAACCCAACAGGACAAATTCATTTTCTACATTGGCATCAGAAAAAGATTTAGATACTTAATTTTCGGTACTCCCCCAATTCATCCCGTGGGTGTCGTAAGAGCCGACTAAGGGAGCAAACTAAGCAGGACAACAGCACTGCAAAGAGAAGGAAAACTTGAAACAAACCCTATACCAACCCGTCTGGCCAGCGTGGTATAGTAGGCCAAAACCTCCTTTCTAAGGAGAGGCCTATGTCCAGCAGTGGACTAGTATAGGCTGTTGATGATGAGGGTTAAGGTGTATGTTCACTTAACGATAGAGATATTTTCTTACACCGGTTACAAATTGAAATTACCTGGCGATCGCATTTCTACCGTTTTGAATGTCTCACAGGGTCAAACGAGCAGGCGGGTCACCCGATGGTAAGTGACTACCGCCCGCCATGAACACCTGTAACGCAAGTGTCACGTGCGTTTCCTTTCTCTGTGCGAGTCCCCCCAGAGTAATTAGGGGGTATCGGGCTCCGGTCGCCTCACTCACACTGTTAAAAGCGACGAAAGAATGTAGCTTGAATTGTCATTATACACACAGAAGACCAAATATCGTTATAAAAGTTTCGTCTCAATCAGTTCCGATCAACATTCGATCTCACAACTGTCATAAAAGGTATTTTGTTAGTAAAATTGAAAAGTATTACTAAGACTAGCAATTTATCGATTAAATTTCCAGTTACAATATGATATAAACAACTGTGTTTATATCATATTGTAACTGGAAATTATACTGATAGTGAATAATATATGACAGTTGTGAGATCGAAAGTTGATCGGAACTAAATTGAGACCAAAGTTTTATAGCTTTACGAATACATTCTTACATATTTTTAATAGCACACACTGTTTAATAAATCAAATCAGTCAGGCCCGTTTAGATCTGTCTGATTCATAGGTAATCTGTGCAACCAAACTATGGTGTGTGTGTGATTGTGTGTATGATTTGTTGCACCCTTGAAAATGCCAAAAAAACACGCGGCATAAAGGTTAAAAGCGAGAAGATTCTATTGATCGTTCATAAATATTTTTTAATGTTCATTCGACTCCTAGTAACAGCGACGCCTAAATACTTTTCTAAATACTTACAATTTACAATTCTAAATATTCACAATCACAATCAAAAGAACCGATATCAGAAGCTTCAGATAGTATAAATATGAGAATTATTTTACTAAGCGACAAATGGATTATCTAATACTTACCTAAACAGTACCAATTATATTAACTTATTCCTAGATAAAGCCAAATACATATAATTACGACTATCATGGCTATCTAATACTACTGATCCGGATACACTTCTCTGGGATGTTATTGTTGACGTTGTTCAAAATAAATAATTTACTTTTAAATAGTATTACTAAATTATATGCATTTACAATATGATGAATAAACTATATATTTAATTGCCTAATTTCAACCTTAAGGTTTGAAATTTTTCTTCAAAATCGATACCTAAATGATGGAGTTTTGGGATAACAAACATATAAAAAACTAAAAATTTCAGCCAGATTCTGGACCTTTTTTTTAAGTGATTTACTACGCATACGAATTTATTGTCGTACTATAATATTTTGTATAAACTTTGAATATAATCTAAAAAAGGACATATCCTTGCGGTTAGGTAGTTTGTGTAGCAATCATTATTGTGTCACACATACATACGTACGTATGTGTATATTTACAAAAAAAAAAGTATCTACGAGTAAGTATTCTTTCAGTCAATCTAGCTTTCATAGTACAAATTCTGCTTAATTTGAAACTAGATGGCGTTGTGTGTCAGATGTCCCAAATATTACTATATACTATATTTACTAGCTGATACCCGGGACTTCGTTCGCGTGGAATTTGAAAAGCGCTGCTCTCTTTCTAAGGTGAAAAATAGCCTAAGTTACTCCTTATATAGACAGCTACGTGGTATTAAAATATTATCAAAATCAGTAGAGCCGTTTAGAAGATTAACCGGAACAAACAGACAGACAGACAGAAAGACGGACAGACAGAAAAAAAAATTAAACTGGTTTTTAGGCATAGGCATCGTGCAAATAACCGTGTGAGCATGAAAAACACCTATTATTTTGACATTACAAACAGACACTTCAATTTTATTTATTTGTATAGATTTTAGTGGAACACCAGCACTAGGATATGACCTGGTTTGACCTGATACAAAGATGCATCTGCAATTCGATTCGTTGTGATTCTATTATGTTTTACATTATATTGAAAACCAGCTCACTTTCACATTATAATATGCTATCATTATACACACGCATAATATTATATAATACCTTAATCTTACACGCTTGAATATTTCTGGCCATCGACTTTTTTAACTAATCAGAATAGCTGCCTAAGACGCTCCCCCTTATGTGTAGGGTTCATGTAGAGTGGAGGTACTCAACTAGGTGTAAGGTATTCGCCCTATCTTAATCTGACAAGCTCGAGTCAATCCTGAATCCCTTCTAGGGCTCCCCTACTATAATGTACGTTATAAATTCACCTAAACATTACTTTAAAAAAATATTTTCCTTTTAACAAAAAAATGTTTTTTCTGTCCTAAATAAAAGAGTAACATATAGGTGCGGCGGACTTTATTGTTGATCTACTAAAGACTGATATTTTTTGAAAAGTACAATACATTCATTGAATTGGAAACCGTTTGACCAACGCACGCAATTGGTCTATTTTTCTCCGTTTTCAATTACACATCTTGATATTTACACTGAAACACATTAGTTATCATAATTATTAAGAGAGAAAAGAAATTATACCTAATAAAAAAAACATCCAGTCCTTCAGTTTTATTCTTACGGGATGCAAATAAGACAAAATTCTTTTAATTATTTGCAACGATTTCTAGGATTTTTTTTACCTATTCATCGTGGACATGTATGCAAAAATAGAAACGGAAAGTTTAGTTTACATACGCACTGAACAGACGCGATTACCTGCGAGATGCAATACAACAAGATAACAATAGAGTGGAGAACATGGGAGGATTAGTTATCTTACCATCAAGCATTATCAGAGGTCCACGTTATATGCATGAACGTACGCAAGACTCCTTTAGTTATGTTCGTAAGTACGGTCGATCTGACCTTTTTAGCAACTTTTACAACTAACCCAAAGTGGATTGAAATTTCACTAGAACTTTTTCTCGGTCAAACATCGTACGACAGCATGACAGAATAGGTCGGGTGTTTCACCTCAAGCTAAAGCTGATGGTTGACCTAATCACTAAACAAAAGGTTTTTTGGATCTTTTCTTTGTTATATGTAACAGCTTCACAGCTAAAATCAGGTTATATGGTCCAAGTATAGATTTAGATAATAGAAGTGTGGTACTTTATTCACCAGCATTATACGTCGTACGTAATATCGAGAAAATTTCAAGCTCATATCAACGTCGAAGTATGTAACAGTATCAAACAAATAAAAATATATGTAAATATGTGAACAAGGGCAGTGACCAAGCAACAGTGGGTTTTATAAATAACTAGCTGACCCGCGCAACTTCGTCTGCGTCTCTCAATAGTAATAAATTTTCTCCGTTTTTGAAACATTCTTCATTGGTGCTCCGCTCCTATTGGTCTTAGCGTGATGATATATAGCCTATAGCCTTCCTCGATAAATGGGCTATCTAACACTGAAAGAATTTTTCAAATCGGACCAGTAGTTCCTGAGATTAGCGCGTTCAAACAAACAAACAAACAAACAAACAAACAAACTCTTCAGCTTTATAATATTAGTATAGATAAGAACAATGTAGTTACGAGATTTCAGTCTGGCCGATATATTAGCTCTTTTGAGTTTTGCAGGAGAGATATCCAGCAGTAATCCATCTGGACGGATATCTTGAAAATATGCAGAGGGTGTAGTGACAGAGCATCTAAAATCTCAAGACAAACTACTTTGCTCGAATCCTTTAACTTAGTCAATCAGATGTATTTTGTACAACATTGTTTCATCATATTATACCTATAAGAAACAGCGAATGTTTAACCGCAGAAGACGTGGAGCAGTTGTTGTGAACCAGGTATTTTTAAGGAACACATTATGGACAGAGTTTATACTGAGCATACTGAATAACTCTGAATGCTTTTATCTACACACTGTTCTAGAGAAAGGTCGATAATATTGTATACCTTACTAATCAAGCGGCAGATTTATACTGGGATGACGCTTTGTCCAACGCAATTATTTGTGAAAGTACTCATCGTTTGCGCCATTTGTTAGCAGTCATGCTCGTGTTCTGTGCATTATGTTGCAACGAAATAACAGTTGTGTGTGTTTCAGGCATTCACAACTAACTAATGACACCGCAATAAATTAGAGGTTACGTGAAGGTCACTTTGAATCGTTGTTTGCTAGCTATTCAAGATATAGCTATATCTATTGGGGGTAATCCTATTCAATATGGCATGCCCGAGCTATCATTTGACGGCCAACGCATTAACAGAGATTACGCGATGGACATAAACTACGATCCAGTAGAATTGGACGAAAACTGTACAAACTGATGTCTCAAAACTTACTGGAGAACAGCGTTTAATATTCGATCGTGTATGACGCAGCGTAAACTGTGTTTTAGGAGAAGTGTTGTTTGTAGATGCTCCCGGTGGTACGGAAAGGACTTTTCTTACCAAAGTTATTTTGGCGAACATGAGAACTTTTTTGCTGTTAGAAAATCACGTAAACGAAGTCGTGGGCATCAGCTAGTTTATAATATATGTATGAATTTAGAAAATATTAGAATTATTTAATTCGACCTCCGGTCAAAAATTTTCGGTCACGGTCAAAGTTTTTAAATTCATCATCATCAACAGCCTTTAATAGTCCACTGCTGGGCATGGACCTCTCCTTAGAAATACATAAATATTATATATTTGACAATATTAGATAAGGTTTTGACTTGATTATGCTGAATAATTTTGACACTACAAAGAGTGCAGTTGAATTTTTGGTAACAAACTGAAAATAAGCATACAGTTCGTTATTATTCTCAGTAGAGTTATTAGAAAATGTTACATACCTGTTTTATTTCACTTCATATCTTCATAATCAATATCTTTTAAGTACACTAACGATTATAACCGTAAAGTACTTTTTTGACTTTTACGCAACTGTGTACTACGTAACAGTAAAAAAATAACTTTGAAGTCTTACTTACCTATGGCGTTATGCGGAGAGGATAGTTTTTGTATGTTCAATAAAAGAGAAAAATCTATAGATATATTTAATTACTCTTAGACACAGTTATAATACGTCGTATATTCTGTATTTACATCAACTTAGTTGTATCGAGATTATAGGTTGAAAAAAACCGATTTCTTTTGCTATTGCAAGTTCTCAAATCTAAGCCTGCTCTTTTTAGTATCAAATATCAAATCGTTTTTTTATAATATATAGCAGGACAAACATGGGCGTTTTTTATCTTTAAATAATTATATTATCAGGATTTATCGCCAGCGTACATCTTCAATGATGAAATAAATCATGATTTGAGAAAGCAATGCATACTTCTTTTTGTCATTTTGTGTGTGTTCTTTTTGTTTTACCCTACTTAACTTATGAATTGGTATGTCATCTAACAACCACTTACACGTGAAAACTTAACAAGTATTGCAGAATGCTCTTGACATTAATATCAATGCTACCAAACATTTAACCTTCGTCGAATACTAACCAAATCTATCGCTTGCTAGTAATCAATAAGATCCAATGCTATGGAAACCTTCAACCACGCATCACATCTAAGTTACTGTAATTATTAAAAACTAATAGCTCTGGTTTTCAGGATAGGTATCAATTGCAATGTGTCGCAATGTTATTGAATTGATTTCAAATATGAAACCGAATGCTTAAAAGTACAAATTCAAGTTTTAACACACATTACATGTTATGAAACAGCTCTGCAAGAGGCAACACGAATACCATTTTTACACTTCTTATCCATAATGTTCAAAGCACTTGGTGAGCCTAAGATTTTAATTCACTTCTCTTGCACGTACGAACATTGACGTCAAAGAATACGTTTAGTTCGATAAGTGTGGCGAGCACCAGAAACATGGCATACATAGCGAGACAGGCTCGGCCTACTGCCGCATCCAGCTTGAACTTATTGAACCAGACGTTAAATACAGCAGCAACAACGTAGATAGCAGTGATATCGCCGAGTACTCCAGCCCCATCGAGTTAATCTTCACCTGTTGACATTACCATTATTACATTTCAGCCGAACGCTTGATTTATAAAGAAGTCGCTTAGCAATTTAAATTTTAATGTCGCAATTTCGCAATGCTCGGCCGTTTTTCGTTTACACAAATATGATAAGTTTCGTTCGCATTATAAAATAAATTATTAAAGTGAAATCTAACCCAGTAGTGACCAGGCTCAGCTGGAGTAAGTGATGCTTTAATGAGCCATGGGAGGCCAAGGCATAGTAAAATGTCGAATGTGTTTGATCCAATGGAATTGCTGATGCCCATAGATCCATGGCCTGTTAAAATAAAAAAAGTTGCTTTAATTTTTTATAAACCTAATTAAGATATGTTGTAACTAATAGGATTTTTTTATATCAAAATACCTTGCTTGGCAACTATAACACTAGATACAGCCTCTGGTACAGATGTACCTGCTGCTAAGAACGTTATTCCCATCACTGAGTCTGGTATCATTAGTGTGTCACCTAAAACATATGATCATAGATTTATAATCCAACTTTTAAATGGTTAATTCAACTAGGTACAGATCTTACCAATGATAGTAATCATCCAGGCAACAATATAAGATAAAGATCCTATCCATACTATGCACATGATAAATGTTAGGGGGAACCAACTCTTAAACCGAGGCTTCTCACAGTCGGGGATTGTAAACAAGAACACGAGGTGAATCGGCCACGTTACTATCCACGCAGTCTGTAAGCATAATAAAAATTTAAGTAATAAAGTAATAATTTTATAGTTATAACATCTTTAAGTTAAGTATAACAAGTAGAACCTTTGTGAAACAACTTCTCCCACTGGGCCACCTCCAAAGCGAGTGTTCATATTCATCTACCGCTTTATTACATCATCCATATTTGCTTGTTGTACATTTTCATCAGAGGTCGCATTCTCATTGTCGTTTGCCTTAGAATCGATATCAATGCAAGTATTATTAGGTTCTTTCCCCATCTGCGACTGTTGGTAACTTCACAGAATGTAAAATATCCATTTCACTATTCTTTCCACTTTTATCTGGGTAAAGAGATAACGTACTTTTTATATTCCCATTGCGTTGATGATGATCCAAAGATAAGTCAATTTTGTTTATAGATGAAGCTTGTTTAGCATCTTTAAGTTCTGTAAATTCAAACAATAACACAAGAGATGTATTATTGTCTATGAATGTATATTTTGGAAATAAAAGATAAGAACTACACTCACCATTTTTCTATTCCAATAGTGTTCTCTTGTTTTTCTTCGCTTTTGTTCAGCATATTAGATACACATTTCCAACTTCCTGCAAAGGAAAAGCTTTCTATATCAAGAAAATATAATTTGCTACGAATGATAACTGTATTGATTGATACTTACGTTTCGCAAAATTTTGTATAGATTTGTCATAATACATGATGCAGATGTAGACTCCATAAAGCATCACAAGGAGGAAAGCCTCATACCATTGTACATACTCATCGTGCATAATGCAGATCAGAATGGAAACTGTAATACCAATAGGCCAGACAGTCTCTCGTTAATGGCCACCAATCAAGTGGTACAACCTAAAATGAGTGTAGGTTATGTCAGAAATCTAACTCAAAGGTTCGAAAAGCATATTGATTTAGGAAATAAGCGCACCATTCCTGCTCCAATGCCACAGCACGCTGCTACGGCGAGAATATTGAATACAGCAGAGCCAACGATGGTACCGACACCAATGTCACCCTCCGTGATAAATGTTCCGATGACATTGACGAATAATTCTGGTGCAGACGTTGCTGCAGCCATGAAAGTAGCACCGGCTACATCGTTCGTCATGTTCAACGCTGTAACAATGTTGTCAGATATAAAGAGACAGTGGCAAAGTGTATATATTTCATACCAATAAATTAATTATATTTCCAGTTTAACTAAAAAAATGTTTTGTTATTAAACAACAACACAATATAAATATATGTAAATGAGGTCTGCTAAGGTTTATATTACATAAAATAGTAAATTTTAACTCATCCTTTGCCCGTGTAAATCCCTTTGACGGATAAGGATACGGAGTGTCACCACCCCTGTTCATCCCGTAGGTGTCGTATGAGCCGACTAAAGGATAAACTATGCAGGACAACAGCACTGCAAAGAGAACGAAAAACTTGACACAAACCCTATACAAACCCGTCTGTCCAGCGTGGTTTAGTAGGCTAAAACCTCCTTCTAAGGAGAGTCCTATGTCCAGCGGTGGATTATGAAAGGCTGAATATAGTCTAAGTGTTCATACTGTTCATGTATGTATCGTACTTATCATAATAATTGTATGACCGGCTTTGACAAATTTGACCAGCCACAAAGTAGGATCGTTCTTCAACTGATCCGATTGCTAATCGCCACAATGATTTAAATTTATATTTATTATTAATGATTATTTTATAAACAATTTATGTTGAAAACTAACAATTCGTAAGTCAACATCAAAAGATATAAAAGTTTCTCTACAGTTTCCTTCATACCTATTTAAATTTCCACAAACTGCACTTTGGTAGTTCAAAATGGGATTACTAGGAATGAATTGAAAACGAAGTAAAGAGACTGCCAATTAAAGTAAAAGTAGGTTTAATTGGATGAAATAGGCAGTAAAAATGCTAATGCTGAGACGGATGTACGGTGTCAGGGTAATAGAGCCCCTAATACGATTAGACAGCCCCAATGGCTAAAAAAGTTAAAAAGGGATAGATTTTATAAACTTAAAAGCTTTACGTTTAGGGAAATCACCCCAAAACATCATTTTCAAAGTTTTAATTTTCACCATTTCGTTGGTGTGATTCATATTTACCCAAATTTAAAATACAGCTTTCTAGTACTTTGAAAAAACCACGGTTGGAGGGATGGACAGACAGACGGGTGTGCTATAAGTATAAGTACTGGGAATGCGTTTACAAAATAAATTTACGAATAACAACACAATTGGGTGATTTGGATTTTGAAGTTCTAATTTATTATTAGTTTAGGCATAAAACAGGAAAAGAAAAGTATATGATGTAGAAATTAAAACTGAGAAGTAATGTGACGCTGAGATGTATTTGTCACAACAAATATGGACTTCTCAAAGTAACATAAACTGTCACTTAAAATAAATAATCATAAAAAAATTGCGTGTTCAGAAATTTAACTGTTACTGTTACTTAGTAGGTGTAAACGGGTGTATTGTTTATAGTTGACAATTACATAGAAATACTAGACTTTAAACATACTACGACGGTGAAATGATTACAGCTAAAAATGATTATAGTCTTTCTTTATAATTTATAATAATGCGTTGGACACCGACTAGTGAAGCTTTTCACAATAATTTTTTGTATATTTTTAATTCACTGTATAAGAAAGTAACACACAAAGAAAAAATAATAATATGACGCATTAATGCACATTTTGGCTACCATAAGGTTTCTGCCTAGTTTTGGGACCAGGGTGCCGCGTGTGAAATGTGTTTAGTTATTATAATTATTATTTTTAACCTGTCAGTTCTTAAGAGACTATCTATCTGTGATACTTTATGTACTTGAAATTCTCACCGTGGCATATTTTTTCTACAGCAGGAACGAAGAACTTGTCGCAGCCCAGGGGCAAGGGCTAGAAGTAGAGGGATATCAGCGCATGGAGAAAAGACGCTCCGTGCTGCCGCTGCAACTCCGTGAAGAATCCGGGGGAAACGTGATGGCCGGGCGGCGTGCAGTTTCGCGTGTAACCTCTTAAAACCCTAAAAATTGAAATTGAAGAATCGTCATATAAATATTTTTCCCTAAAACCTCTTTTCAGATATTTTATAATTTAAATTTTTTAAGGAGTAAAAAGCCACGGCCCAAAGAGAAAACTAAAAATGCCCCCCACCCCGGTGCCAAAATTCGTTTTTTTAATTTTAGATAAAATTTGGTTTTTCAACTCACGAAAAGGGGCGAATCTTGACCCAAAAAAATCAAGAAGAACTAAATTTCAATTAAGATTTCGATTTCAGGCAGCAGAACAATTCAAAAACCAAAAAGTTGGTAGAAAAGTTTCCTTCCATTTTCCCCCACACGAGATATCGTCATTACCTCCCTTCATTTCATTGGAAACGATTTTGGGTTTTTCTTAAAATTTGAGATTTATAATTTTTAAGAATTTTTTTATTACAAGGGGAGTCCAAGTGCCAACTGATAGAATACACTTAAAATATATCACTAGAAGAAAACGCACGGTTTTTTGATCTAATCAATAAAGGAGAAAACTCGAAAAATTTCCTCCAACAAAAAAAATTCAGAATAAGCAATAAGGATTTTTTAAATTTTCATACGCCTATTTCAAATAGGTATAATTAACAAAATTTAATAAAAATCGTTCTTTTTTATATTTACTATTTTTTTTCTTGAAATTTGCAAAAACAGCCCAATCCGTGAAAATTTATAAATTTGAAATGTTTTTTAAAACAAAAAAGAAATTAAATTTAAAAC